CTTAGGGCTGCACTGTTATCACAGCTGTACTGTTAGACACCTGGAGGTAGGATATAATTTTTTAATGAATTCCTTTTTCTCTCTTTAATTTATTTCTTAACCGTGACTGATTCCACTTGGAGGGTTTTCTCCATTTCAACAACTCTAGTCATACCCCCCCCCCTTTTTGTCTCCATTCAACATTGTCCTCCATTCTTGTGAACACCTTGTTATCGTTGTTGTTTTCCTAGTAGAAACTGATCTTTCCTGGCATGGTGTTGTCCGGGGTGACCTTTTTCATCTATCTGGAAAGAAAGGGACGCCTTGTGTCTGAATGAAAGGAAACGACCCCTTCACCCTCTTCTTCTGCATTTTTGCTGCCTTGGTTGTCATTGTCAGCACCAACAAAATTGAGATTGGGGGGGCGGGTGTCAGGGCAACTTACTAAATTACGACAATGTTCTGAACGTACATGAACACATGAAGCTACCTTATATTGAACTGGTCCATCATGGGTCCATCAAGGTCAGTATTGTCTACTCAGATTGGCAGCAGCTCTCTAGGGCCTCGAGGAAAGCTCTTTCACTTGACCTACTACCTGATCCTTCCAACTGAAGATGCTGGGGAGTGAACCTGGGACCTTCTGCATGCAAAGCAGATGCTCTACCACTGAACCACTGAGAGAACCACAGCCTCTTTCCCCATCTCCCCAAGCAGTAGGGGACAATTAGTCTTTTCACTGTAGATGACTGTGTGGGACACCCAGTAGCTTCCAGCAATTAGCATAACCAAAGAATTCAAGCATTGTGTTATTTTGGAGTAGTGCTATGCAAAGGCACATTTTTTTTTTTAAAAAAAGGGTAGTATTATGCTATCCTCAAGCACAGCTACCAAAATTTTTAAAAAGCGGATAGAGAATCATGGCAGCAATGGGGGGGGGAGTATCTGGCGTGAAAGGGAAAGCAAGGCTAACAAAAGCAATTCCTCCCCAAATTACCCTGTGCCATGCAGAATCTCTGTTGCAAGTGTGAACTGAGCAACAACAGCACTTGTAACATGACCATGGAAAACAACCATTTGTGTGGAACCAACCTTTCACTTAATATAACTGCTGTTCTATTTAAAGTCTTTGTGAACTGAAATGCCACACAAATGGCTTACATTTGCATGTCACTTAAAAGTTATTGATAGTATCTGGAAACTGTAACACACACACACACACACACACACACACACAAAACACCAGGGCACAGTATCCATTAGATTCAGAGATCCTGCTCACTGTACAGATGGCTCGGAAGCAGGAAATCCAAGAGAATATTTTACAGTTTAATTATGTTGACATTGCAGCAAGTATCTTTGCCAAAATGCCATGATGGATTTCATCATTAATGTTTGCAAAGTTGTCCTGAGATCCTTAGTCATTGTTTATGTTCTGAGGGTTTTTAAAAATATTGGTGCATTTTAGTGTGTGTGCGTGTGTTTGTGTGCCTAGAAGTCCTGGCAACCTCTGGTGACTCCTACTGAGACATGGAGGATGTTCAAAGAAGTGGCTTAATAGCCTACCTCTGTGTCCCCGCCCTGGTATTCTTTGGAGGTCTCCTACCCAAATACTTGTCAGAGTCGGCCCTGCTTAGCTTCTGAGATCTGACAAGATCGGGCTAGCCTGGGCTATCCAGGTCAGGGCTATGTTCTGAGTATGTTTGGCAGTATTATTGCAGCCACATGCTCTCCTATTATATAAGCAGAGTGGAAATTTGGTTTTTTTAATAGGGGATGGGGGAGGTAACGGTAGGGTTCCCAAATCCCCCCGGGGGGCGGAATTCCCCCCGGTTTCGAGCCCTGATTCCCGCTCCCGCGGTATCGGGGCCCGGGGGAAACCCCACCCCGTGCGTGCGTCACCCGGAAGTGACGTCGCACGCTGGGGGCGGGGGGCGCCCCTTTAGCGCGGCAGCATGGGGGCGGGGCCACGCCATTTGAGGGGAAAACAAAGAGTTTTCCCCTCAAATGGCATGGCCCCGCCCAGCGTGTGACGTCACTTCCGGGTGATGCTCCGGACGTGCACACGCGCGCACGTCCCCAGCCGGCTCCCGGAGCGACAGGACGCTCCCCCGCTGGTAAGATTTTTCTATTTGGCAACCCTAGGTGACGGCCATGAACATGTGCCTGACTTTACCAGGCACCTAGAATGGGAGGCACACCCACCTGCTGGAAAGTTGCTGAAGTCTGACCCCAAATGGAATGATGACTCCAAAGTAGGATTGCCAACTCAGTATTTGGAAATTCTGGGAGATTTGGGGTTGGAGCCTGGGGAGGTCAGTGTTTGGAGAGGGCAGGGACCTCAGTGGGGTACAGTGCTATAGAGTCCACCCTCCAAAGCAGCCATTTTCTTCTGGGGAAATGATCTCTGTTCTCTGGAGACTAATTGTAATTTTGGAAGACCTCCAGACCCCACTTTAAAGCTGGCAACTGCTCCCATGTGCATGGGCTGGGATCCATGAGAGTTAAGTGGATTTGAATCTGGTTCGCTGAACACTGAGGCATCAAAATGTAGAATATTGCCCTGACCTGGATAGCCCAGGCAAGCCCAATCTCGTCAGATCTTGGAAGCTAAGCAGGGTTGACTCTGGCAATGACTTGGAAGGGCACCCTCCAGGGAATACCAGAGGTGGGAGGCAAGGGTAGGCTTTATTCAGCCACCTCTCTGAATATCCTCCAGGCCCTTTGTAGGGATCAGCCACCAGAGGATGCCATGACTTCCAGGTACATGCGCTCTCTCTCTCTCTCTCTCTCTCTCTCTTTCTCTCTCTCTCTCTCTCTCTCTCTCTCTCTCTCTCTCTCACACACACACACACACACACACACACAAAATATAAAAATATGTCACACACC